CTCAGATCTTCTAGCCCCATTGGCTGCTGTCTGGCCCTTTGCCCCTCCTGCACATAGCTTTTTTGAGTACGTATGCACCTCCGTGCCCCTCTGGGTTACCCCTGCTAGCAAAGTTGCAAATTTAAGCTCACAGGCTCATCTTTTGAAGCAGAAAGGTTTCCTTTAAGGATGGGGACTGAGAGGTTAGGTATGGTGATGGCTTTTTGGAAAGCATTCGCCCGCAGAGGATGTGGTGGTTTTGTCTTTGACTGTTTTCCTGCGGAGGCTGATGCGAGAGCACCCGCCACTGTGTGTGAGAGGCATGTGTAGGAGCCCGGGATCTTGAAAGTTGTATTGATTGTTGTAACAGTGAGGATAGGTTTGACCATAGCGGACGTGAGAACAGAATCTGGCCTGACAAAGACAGAGAAATGACTTGGTTTTGTAGGGCTGATATTCCAGACAGGACCTTACAGAATATGGCCCACCAGGTGAACTCAGCTGTGCCAGGAAACACTGGGGAGAGCAGGGAACAAATGCCTGGAGCAGACGGTGGAGGGAAATGAATGGGGGAAGGGAGGGTCGCTTACACGCCAAGTGCCTGCGGGTAAAGTCCTGATGAATGCACTGGAAAACCGCATGCACGTAGGGATTGCTTGCTGTGGCTTTGCCCTGCACTAGTGTCTCACTTAAATATTTAAATCATCTTCCTATGCTATAGTTCTGCACCACCCCAGAGCTTGGAAGCACTTTTGCAGCAGCTGCTGCAGTGAGATTCAGCACCGACCTGGCAAAGGACAGGGAAAGGGCATAGGGGGAGTTGCAGGGAGAGGAGTGAATGACTAACTCCAAAAGCTTCCTCTCAGCCGGTGTGTATGCACAGTCCCCAAAGGGGCAGGGGATCCGGAAGAGAAACCTGAGTCGCACATCCTGGGCACCTTCCTTCATCCAACTCCGCCCTGTACTGGCTGCAATACTCAGTGCTCCCTCCTTCCACTGAGAAGCGGAGACCTAGGCAGAGCTGCTGCAGCTGGCAGGTGAGCTGAATTTGCTAGAGCTCTGCAAACTCCTGCCCTTATGCATGCCTCCCGCTCTCTCTGCAGGCAGCTGCATGCAGCTTTGGGTTGCTCGTTTAAGAGTCCTTGTTACTAAGAGGGAGCCTTTGCCTTGAGAAAGAGCTGTCATGGGGACTGGAATGAGCAAGGTACACGCACCTCAACACTGCAGCTAGTACATTTGAGTCAATAATGCTGATAAATTGGAGAACCTTTTACTCTGATCTAGCTCAGGAATCCTGCGCTGACCAGTAGGAAAGAGGAGATGCCTGCATGTGATCTAATATATCTTTCCCTTCTGTGATTCTTACAGCTTAGAAGCTTGTTGTAGTTTTCCCTGGGAAAAGGACAGAGATTTTAAAGACGATCATTGTTAAAACAAACAACAATCCCTGGCAAGTCTCAGAGGGGTAGCCATGTTAGTCTGTATCTGAAAAAACAACTAGGAGTCCTGTGGCACTGTAGAGAGATTGATTTGGGCATAAGCTTTCATGGGTTAAACCCACTTCATCAGATGAATTGGAGTGGAAGTTACAGAGGAAGGGGTATATATACTGTGTTAATGAAGCTAATCAAGACAAGGTGGAGGTGGCTCATTCACAGCATTAGGTGTGGAGATGCGAAAATCCAGAGAGGGGAAATTGCCTTTGTAATGCTCTAACCAGTAAAGATCCTTATTCAATCCTAAATTGATTGTATTTAATTTGATCTTAACTGGTTAACGCACCTCAGAGGCAATTTCCCCTTTCTGGATATTCACATTTCCACACCAGGGCTACGTCTAGACTGGCATGATTTTCCGGAAATGCTTTTAACGGAAAAGTTTTCTGTTAAAAGCATTTTCGGAAAAGAGCATCTAGATTGGCACGGAAGCTTTTCCGCAAAAGCACTATTGCACAAAAGGGCCAGTGTAGACAGCTGAGATTTGCTTTGCGCAAAAAAGCCCCGATCGCCATTTTCGCGATTGGGGCTTTTTTGTGCAAAACAAATCTCAGCTGTCTACACTGGTCCTTTTGCGCAAAAGGGACTTTTGTCCGAACGGGAGCAGCATAGTATTTCTGCAAAAAGCACTGATTTCTTACTGTAGGAAGTCAGTGCTTTTGTGGAAATTCAAGCGGCCAGTGTAGACAGCTGGCAAGTTTTTCTGGAAAAGTGGCTGATTTTCCGGAAAAACTGGCCAGTCTAGATACAGCCCAAATGCTGTGAATGAGTCACTTCCACACTGACTTATTAAGCTTCATTAACACAATAATAACCCTTGGGTTACTTAAACTTAGATAGTAAGCCCCTGGAGGTAAGGACTATCTTTGCACTCTATATTTGGACAGTACCTTGCAGAATGGAGTCCTGATCAATTGCTGGAGTGTCTAAGTGTTCCCAACAAATACTTTCTTGGATGGGAAACAATTAGGGAAATTACCCTGGGTCTGGAAATTAATTTTTTGTTCCTGGGGTAATAAGAACATCACACCATTAGCATCGCTAGGCCAGCAGTCACCAAGCCAGTCATCCTATCACATCCTAATTCACTTCAGTGTACAGGTGGGAGGGAGGGTATATTTTCCCTACTTTTTACCAATTAAAATTTTTTTTGGTTATGTTGCTATCCCTTGGACATGATTCACTGGGAGAGAAAGAAGATTTTGATAGGGTGTTTGTTACTCAGCTGTCATTCTCATGCAGGCAGTGAAAGGATGGATTACAGTCCATGTCCCTAAATAACCAGGAGAGGCATGACTTATCTAGTTTAAAATTAGATCCTGGCACTAAAACAGAGACACCGGACCAGCACAGACTCTTGCCATGGTATCCTCATGCTGCTGCTTCGTGGTGGAATAAATATCACAAACAAGATGGCTGACTTCCCTGCAGGAAAGACTAGGAAGTTTTATGAGAACTTCTCCATAGACAGCCTGGATCTCGGAATTGTCCCTCTGGCACACTACGGGTACGTCTACACAGCAGCATTATTTTGGAATAACCAACGTTATTCTGAAATAACATAGTGTGCGTCTACACTACAAGCCTTTATTTCGAAAGGCCAAAGGACTTCTTATCTGACTCACGGTAATCCTCATTTCACGAGGAGTAAGGGAAGTCGGCAGAAGAGTGTTCTTCCTTCGGCTTCTTGCTGTGTAGACAGTGCTAAAAGCTGAATTAAGCTATTTCAACTTAATATATTCAATTGACGTAGCTGAAGTTGCTTAGAGTAATTTGACTTTAGCCCTGTTGTGTAGATGTACCCTATGGCCCTGGTTGTGCAATAAGAGATTTATAGGGGGGCCCCTTTCAACATTCCTTTTTCAACTCAGTTCCTTTTTCCTTTTTTTCTTTCTTTTTTTTCTCGATTTATAGGGGGGCCCCTTTCAACATTGGGCCTGTGTTTTATGGCTCCAAATCCAAACCTCAGAACTGAAAATTCCCCAATTTTGGGGAATATCGGTGCTTAATATTTGGAGAAGCAGGGATGTGTTCTCCATAGTGCATCAACAATACAGAATTCCTATTTCTGATTCACAGCCATTTGCAAGTCCTCTACTACCTTTTTGAGAGCTTAGTAATGCCATACAGTCACCAGAATCAAATAATACATATTTTTACACATTTTGGGGCCAAACTCCACTGTTAAGTCTTGGGTTGTTGGAGCCCCCGGGTTCAAAGTGGGATTAATTAGGAATTATTTTCCCCTCTTTTGTGTGATTATTCTACCCTATGGTGTATAGTGGCTTTACCTACTGCTGACTGGCTTTATTATACAGAATGATTGGACTTTTATGGGGAAAATATAGTTGTGCTTTGTCTTGGATCTTGTTTTTGTTGCAATAACTTCAAAAGTCCCAAGTACAGAATACATCTGAACTGTTCTTCCTGCGCCAAAAGAAGACACTCAGCAGATTGAAGTGTAGGTAACATGAATCTCTGGGGAAGGGACGTGTGTTCAGCAGCAGCACTGGATTGTAGCAGTGACTAAACCAGCAGACGATAAGTAGAGAGCATAGCTTCCCTCTTCCTGTTCATCGGGGGAGGAGAGAACAGCTGAACAAGTGAGATGACTCATGTTGTAGCAGCCTCAGTTCCTTTTTCCTTTTTTTCTTTCTTTTTTTTCTCCCCCCCTCTCCTATTTATTTCGAGTTTTCATATCCCGTACTCATACTCTGGTCATCTGTAGAAGTGGGCTGTGCCCACGAAAGCTCATGATGCCATCTACATCAGTGGTCCCCAACCTTTTGGGGCTGCCAGGTGCCCGGGGGCAGGGCAGCGCATGCGCCATGCGCCCGGGGGCAGGGCTGCCCATGCGCCACGTGCCTGGAGCTGGCACTGTGCATGTGCCGCGAGCCCGGGACAGGGGCCGCCCATGCACCACACACCCGGGGCCGGCACCGTGCATGTGCTGCGCTCCCGGGGGCAGGGCCGCCCATGCGCCACGTGCCTGGAGCCGGCACTGTGCATGTGCCCCCTGGCCCCCGGGCGCCCGGCACATGAGCGGCCTCCGCCCCCTGGTGCCCGGCAGCCCCAAAAGGTTGGGGACCACTGATCTACATGTTTTGTTAATCTATAAAGTGCTACCAGACCATTTGTTGTGAGATCTCAGCCTCTCTACAGGACAGAAAACAAGTTACTGAGTTGGCTGTGTGGAATGGTTATTTACTAAAGCTTTCCTTTTAGCATCCACACATGAGAGATCAGGAGTTTTTAGTGGTCATTTGTAGAAGCTGAGAGAGTAGATTTAAATAATTTAAGCAGCTTTATGGCATGTAAATATTTATAGGCTGGGGAGACAGTATAGAGGGTTTGACTACATTTTTCTGATTAAAAACAATGAGGAGTCCTGTGGCGCCTTAGAAGCTAATAATTATATTGGGGCATGAGCTTTCATGGGTAAAACCCACTTCATCAGATGAGTTGGTGTGGAATCCAGGGTATATCCCCTACTCATTGAGCCTCTAGCTATCATCCTTGGAAAATCATGGGAGACAGGAGAGATTCCAGAAGACTGGAAAAGGGCAAATATAGTGCCCATTTATAAAAAGGGAAATAAGAACAACCTAGGAAACTACAGACCAGTTAATTTAACTTCTGTGCCAGGGAAGATAATGGAGCAAGTAATTAAGGAAATCATCTGTAAACACTTGGAAGGTAGCAAGGTGATAGGGAACAGCCAGCATGGATTTGTAAAGAATAAATCATGTCAAACCAATCTGATAGCTTTCTTTGATAGGATAACGAGTCTTGTGGATAAGGGAGAAGCGGTGGATGTGGTATACCTAGACTTTAGTAAGGCGTTTGATACAGTCTCGCATGATATTCTTATCTATAAACTAGGCAAATACAACTTAGATGGGGCTACTATAAGGTGGGTGCATAACTGGCTGGATAACCGTACTCAGAGAGTAGTTATTAATGGTTCACAATCCTGCTGGAAAGGTATAACAAGTGGGGTTCCGCAGGGGTCTGTTTTGGGACCGGCTTGGTTCAATATCTTCATCAATGATTTAGATATTGGCATAGAAAGTACGCTTATTAAGTTTGCAGATGATACCAAGCTGGGAGGGGTTGCAACTGCTTTGGAGGATAGGGTCATAATTCAAAATGATCTGGACAAATTGGAGAAATGGTCTGAGGTAAACAGAATGAAGTTTAATAAAGAGAAATGCAAAGTGCTCCACTTAGGAAGGAACAATCCGTTTCATACATACAGAATGGGAAGCGACTGTCTAGAAAGGAGTACGGCAGAAAGGGATCTAGGGGTTATAGTGGACCACAAGCTGAATATGAGTCAGCAGTGTGATGCTGTTGCAAAAAAAGCAAACATGATTCTGGGATGCATTAACAGGTGTGTTGTGAGCAAGACACAAGAAGTCATTTTTCCGCTCTACTCTGCGCTTGTTAGGCTTCATTTGGAGTATTGTGTCCAGTTCTGGGCACCGCATTTCAAGAAAGATATGGAGAAATTGGAGAGGGTCCAGAGAAGAGCAACAAGAATGATTAACGGTCTAGAGAACATGACCTATGAAGGAAAGCTGAAAGAATTGGGTTTGTTGAGTTTAGAAAAGAGAAGATTGAGCGGGGACATGATAGCCCTTTTCAGGTATCTAAAAGGGTGTCATAAGGAGGAGGGAGAAAACTTGTTCATCTTGGCCTCTGAGGA